AGTATCTAGATAAGCAGGGACAAACAAGCAGAAAACAGTGCCCTCGTCAAGGATCTACCCACACTTCCCCCCAACATTGACATAGCAAGCCACTGTAAACCCATGCCCCTCTAACACTGCTGAAGTTATCTAGTTGGGTCATGAAACGTCCTTAAGAAACCTCCCAAGCTCAAATGATCTATCAGTTTCGTGTCTCCTTGGAGGCTAATTTGTTTGTTTTTTTTTAAAGTCATTAACTATTGTGCTGCCTAACCAATATTTGGATGGGGGGGGCTTTCAGGGAGGAGGGGTTAGCTTGGGGCTGCCCACTCCTGGTTCACTCTATTGAAGAAGGGTAGATAGATGGACAGGACCAGTTTGATAACAGGAATGTCCTTGGGAAAGCTATGAGTTATTACTGAGACAAGGGCAAGTTAGCAAGCATTTCTCCACACCCGCCCCGTCACCATGACTCAAATCTGACTTGATGGCTCTGAATTAAGTAACTGAGATTTGTGCCTGCGTTTGGGGGAACAGGAGAGAGAGAGAGAGAGAGAGAGAGAGAGAGAGAGAGAGAAACAGGGAGCGAGATCAAGAAAGAAAGAGAGGTGAGAAAAAGAGAAGAGAGGGAGGGAGAAAGAGAGGAGAGAGAGAGAGAGAGAGAGAAAACAGGGAGCGAGATAAAGAAAGAGAGAGAGGTGAGAGAAAGAGAAGAGAGAGGGAGAAAGAGGAGAGAGAGAAATGGAGCGAGATAGAGATAGAGAGGTGAGAGAAAGAGGAGAGAGAGGGAGAGAGAGAGAGAAAGAGAGAGAGAGAGAGAGGAGAGAGAAAAACGGAGCGAGATAGAGAAAGAGAGAGCGGTGAGAGAAAGAGAAGAGAGAGAGGGAGAAAGAGAGAGAAAGAGAGGAGAGAGAGAAAGAGAAACGGAGTGTGATAGAGAAAGAGAGGTGAGAGAAAGAAAAGAGAGAGAGGGAGAAAGAGAGGAGAGAGAGGGAGAAAGAGAGGAGAGAGAGGGGGAGAAAGGAGAGAGGAGAGAGAAAAATGGAGCGAGATAGAGAAAGAGAGATGAGAGAAAGAGAAGAGAGATAGAGAGGGAGAAAGAGAGAGAGAGAGAAAGAGAGGAGAGAGAGAGAAAAAAACAGGGAGCGAGATAGAGAAAAAGAGAGGTGAGAGAAAAAGAGGAGGGAGAAAGAGAGGAGAGAGAAGAAAGAGAGAGAGACGGAGAGAGAGAGAGGTCAGTGGGGAAGGAACATCTGTAAAAATGGACCTATATTTGAAATGGCTTATTGACAATGTAGCAAGAAGCATGTTCAGAAGGAAAATTTCTAAAACCTCTCAGGTTTTTTTTCCCTGCAGAGAATAGATAAGCTGCTTGAATACCATTCTAGATTGAATTGAAAAGGCAAACAACAAGAGAGAGGGAAAGGAGTAGAGAGAGAGAGGAAGGGAGAAAACAGGAAAGGAGAGGGAGAAGAGAGGGAAAAGGAGAGGAAGAAAAAGGAGGGGAAAGAGGAGTAGAAGAGAGGGTTAGAAAGGGAGGAAGAAGAGAGGAGTGGGTGAAGGGAAGGGAAGGGGGAATAGGAAAAAGAAGGAGAGGAAGAACGAAGAAAGCAGGAAGAGATGGAGGAAGGAAGAGAAGGGGAGGACAAGAGGAAAGGTTGTGGTAAAATAAAGGAAGGTAAATGGTAAAAGAGCATCCCCGAACAACTAAAAATGAAAGTTAAAAAAATAAGATGAATGGGAAATGATGGATAAAATCATTTTCCTCAAATATGCTTATGAGAAATAAAAATAAAAGACCTTTTTTTAAAAAAAGTAGGTAACATCATCAGTGTTAGAAGGGAGTGGGGTTTGCGGGGAAAGAAAAGGAGGATTGTGAGGCTTTGGCGCTCTCTGAGCTTGGTTCTTTTCTTGAGACATTTCATGACCCAAGTAGGTAACATCATCAGTGCTGGAAGGGAGTGGGGCTTGCTCTCATTTAATTTGCTAGTAGCTTTCCCTGTTCGGCATTGGCGGAAGTGTTCTTGCTGGTTCTTTTGATTCAGAACTGTGGATTATTTTTCGCGCGGTTCGGCCTTTAAAAAAATGACGCCGATCTGAAGTGGCTTTGCAGAAGCCCGGAAGGAGAGAGTTAAACGAAACAATGGAGTCAGTCGCGTTCATTTCTATTCCCTTCCTTTCGGCTTCGGAAAAGGACCTCAGAAATTTACAGCCAGGTTGTCACTTCTGCAGATTTGCAAGTTGAGGTTCCGATGCCATTTGAATCATAGGGGCAGGTCTAATTGGATAATATTACAAATCCTGCAATAAAAATAAGGGAGGGAGGGAGGGGGGGTGGAGAAGAGAGGTTGGCGGAATGAATGGTGAGTTTGTCAGCGCATTCCAATTACTGTTGTTTACAGCTATTAATAATAAGCACCGTCAAAGCTGGAGGTGGGGGGGAATATATTTACCCAGGTGAGCTGAGCACTTTGTCACTGTGGGTCCGAGAATCCGCTTGGCTCAGACAAAAGAGGTTTTGTGTTGCGGCGTGTGACCGGAGTTGAGGACCAGGGTTTTAATCTCTGGTGGTCTCGTTTGATTTTGCTGCCTGGGTTTTATTTTTTCCTCTCCACCCCCTATTCTGTGGCTTGGGGTATTCCCCTTCCAATCCATAAATTCCTCCTGGCCCTGATTCTTTGCGTTCGACAAGTTCCCATCGATTTAAACAAGACCATCTGGTGGGACCCAGGAGGTGCGTCATCTCAGTTGGACCACCTGCTCCTTGGAGCGCCATAACCCCTGACGTTTTTCTTGTGGTGGCATCTCATAAGTCCTTCAAGACCTGATGCTACCTTAAGGCGTGGGACCCGAAAGTTGGACGAGGAGATCCATGTTATTTTTCTCAAGACAACTGTCATTGCGTTGGGTTGGATTGGATTTGAACTATCCTTGGGTGCCATGATGGGTGATTGCGGATTTGTTGCTTTGATTTTATTGCACCGGTTGACCAGAAGGGTGGCTATCTACATATCCAGTCAATCAATTAGGGCAAGGTGCTGGTCACCAAGACAGAAAATGGGTAGAATTGCCTTCCTTAGAATGACCAGCTGTGGGATAGTTTGGAGGAGGTTTGAATACCATTGTTGTCCAGCATGGAGGATCAAGGTCACACATAAGTTCCAGTTCAGAAGAAGTCTATGCACAACGATCTGGTCGAAAACCACACAGTGCTAAATTGGCACCAGATAAGGGTCAATGGAATTCAAGAGGGTTGAACTTAAGACCGTTGGTGGCAATGTAATGACTCTAGGCCGATGACTTGCTTAACACCGCCCCCTGCTCTTCTCCTACGTCAGTGTAGCAAACAGAAGGAAGGACCTCCCAGAATGGCTTCTAACTTTGCATCGAGGTTCTCCTGCTGGTTGCTGGTTGATGTAGAGCTGAGTTGCTCGGACCTCCCTTCCATTTGGATCCCTCTCGGGGCAAAGCACTTTGATCCCACAGAGACAGGATCAAAGACAGCCCCAGCCGGGGATCGCTGACTCTCGAGCGAGCCAGAAAGCTCGCCGCCACTAGGAGAAGGACGCTTGGGCCTGCCGAGCTGTCTTTTCCAAACCTCTCCCGTAGAACGCAGCTATCCACCGTTGTGGGACCACTCCGTAACTCCCACGGCGCCTGGCGGAGCAGTCCTGTGGCTGTCCTAGTTAAATGAGGAAAGTCACAGAACGGTGGAAGTGGGTGAAGCATGAACGGAGAACAACAGCTGTGCTAGAAGTGTCCCACAGAAATGCTTTCACAGATGGGGGAACTCTTCGAAATAAATAGATCATCCTCCCCCACCCCCATTGAAGATTTTTTTAAAACCCTGCTCGCTTCCCACTTTCTCATTGCCTTCGCTTCCCAAGCACCTGCAGCTTCCAAGGGACCCTTGTCTCCTGCTTTAATGGACGTCTGCTCCTTCCTTTTTTTTTTCCTGTTGTTTTGTTTTTGCATTAAATTTATATCCCACCTTCCCAGCTGTCATGATTCACCGGTGGACAGAGTTCGCTATGGGATTCATTATCCATTCTGCCGCGGCCCTGCGGCGAAATTTGGAGGTGGAAGCCTTACAGATACAAATGTGAGCTTTTCAAGTTCAGCTCTTTGAAAGTCTCCCCTTTGGAGACAAAACGCCATTTTCATCGATCTGCAAAGTTTCTTGGGCCGCAGCTGGTACCTAAAAGTTGGGGCAGTTTTCCCAACTGCTTCCTTTTTTTTTTTTTTTCTCCCCCTGGCTAATTATTCAAAAGAGGTGGCATTTTGCAAGGGCTTAATGCCCAGCGCCAGCAAAATATCTGATTGGATATAGAAGACCTCAGCAGTTTTCCAGCCCGAAACCCTGCTTAAGGTGGATTAATTTTATTTTATTTTATTTTTAAAAAAGGGGGAGAAAATATGCAAATGGCTAGGATTCTAATTAGGCCATCTTGCAAGGCAAGAATTCAAAAGACGAGATAACCACTTTAGTGCAAGGGCCATGTGCAAATGAAGTAAAGAATGTTTTTTTTAAAAAAAAATACAGCATCCGTCTAAATTTTAGACCCATGAAGGATTTGTCGAGGTGGGGTTTTTTGGGTTTTTTTTTTACAACCCCCCCTTTTTTAGGCAGTTTTTTTTAGAAAGCCAGACCTCATCAAGGAGAGAAGCAACTTAGAACTAAGGAGGAATTTCCTGATAGAACAATTAATCAGTGGAACAACTGGCCTCCAGAAGTTGTAAACGCTCCAGCACTGGAAGTTTTCACCTAGGGCTTATTTTCAGACTAGGTCTTATTTTCAGGGAAACAGGGTAGAAAAAAGAACTTCCATCCCTGGAGGTTTTCAAAGAAGCGTTTGGGCGACCCGTTTGTCCAGAAACGGAACAGGGGTCTCCCGGGTTGGACTAGAAGACCTCCGAGGTCCCTTCCTTCCAACTCTGTTTCTTCTGTTACTTAAAGGCTTTCGTGGTCTTTGTGAAAAGGCAAAGTAGATGGGGCTGAGGACGCTCTTTTGCTGTTGCAGGGTTTTCCCTCTGCCGCCAAATAGCTGGAGGTTGCCTTATTGAAGCCGAATATCACCGTGCGTGACAACTTCACTCAATTGTAGCCTGCCGCGACTGCATTAGCCTGCAGGGAAACATCGGATCCACGTTGGCCGTGACACTCAATTTTACTGTAAAACACATTCATGTTGACACGGCATCAGTTTTCAGAAGCATTAATGCATACGGGAGCATCTCTCCCTCTCTCTCTCTCTCTCTCTCCTTGTTGGTATGATTGTTTGTGTGTGTCTCTCTCTCTTTCTCTCGTTGGTGTTATTTGGTTTCTTCTCCGGCTCGGAGCCAAAGCTGTTAGAAATGTGTTTTTTTTTCTTTTTATCTCCTTGCAAAGACTTCTCTTTAGTCCTGGGACCCTAGCGTTCGATTCATTGGCGTTGAGCCTTTTTAAGTCATTGCGATCCAAAGTAGAGACTCTCGGGGTTGAACGGTTGGGTTCTTGGTAACCTCTGAGCTTCATGGTTTTCCTGCGGGCATTTTGTTACCCAACTAGGTAATATCATCCGAAGGGAGTGTGGGAGGAGGAGGACTATGGAGTCCTTGGTAGTCTCTGAGCTGCATGGTTTTCTTGGAGACATTTCATGACCCAACTAGGGAACATCATCAGTGCTAGGTGGTTGGTTGGCAGGGAGGAGGAAGAGGATGATGACTATGGGGTCCTTGGTGCTGTTTGAGCTGGATTGTTGCAGACATTTCATGACCCAACTAGGGAACATCATCAGTGCTAGGTGGTTTGCAGGGAGGAGGAAGAGGAAGAGGAGGAGGAGGACAACGACAACAACTATGGGGTCCTTGGTGCTCTCTGAACTCGGTTGTTTGCTTGCGGATGTTTTATTCCCATACCAGCCAACATCATCGGTGCTGGGTAATGACTAAGGATGATCATCAGTGCCCTACTGTATGTAAACAGGGAGCAAACCACACTCACTAGCACTGATGATGTTACCTGGTTGGGTCATAAAATGTCCACAAGGAAACAACCCAGCTCAAACAGCACCAAGGACTCCCCAGTTCAACCTTGAGCTACAGGTATTCTCTTCTATCGGATACCCACACATACACAAAAACAAACACACACACGCACACTAAGACTGCTGTGGGAGGGGGGGAAAAATCATTTTGAGACAGACTCCTTCAACGGAGGAGCCGTGATGGAGCTTGAAAGCATCTCTGGAGTTTTGCTTCCGATCCGGAGTTTTCTCGCCAGAAATGTGCTGTCAAGAACTTTGCGGTGTAGCAAGATAGCGTGTTAAACTCACGCTGAGAAGATCAGGATTCAAACACTCATCCAGCCATGAAGTTCAGGGAAGACATGTCAACCTTTCTGCTTCATAGTGCACTTTAAAGAGCCAGGAGATCCTAATATTTAGGCCTCGGGGCAATTTCCTTCTTCTTCTTCTTCTTCTTCTTTTTTCTTTCCTTCTTTTTCTACCGATCTGGAGGAAAGGGGTTGACGGGGAAAAAAAAAACAACCCAGTTTGAAGAGATGCCTAGCCTTTGTCATCAAGGTTTGCAGATTTTTGACCTACAGTATAAGAAAACCTCCTTCTGCTCTTCCTCCCAATCCCACGGGGTTCTGAAAGGAAGAGAAAGAAAGGAGGGAGGGAGGGAGGGAGGGAGGGAAGGAAGGATGGATGGAAAAAGGAAGGAAGGGACAGAGAGGAAAGGAAGAAAAAGAAGGGGAAGGAATGAAGGGAGGGAGAGAGGAAGGAGAAAAGGAGGAAGCGAGAAAAGGAGAAGAAGGAAGAAAGGAAGGAAGGAAGGAAAAAGGAAAGGAAAGGACAAAGAGAGGAAAGGAAGAAAAAGAAGGGGAAGGGAGGGAGGGAGAAGGAGAAAAGAAGAAAGCAAGGAGAGGAAGGAAGGAAGGAAAAAGGGAAGGAAGAGACAGAGGAAAGGAAGAAAAAGAAGGGAAAGGAATGAAGGGAGGGAGTGAAGGAGGAAGGAGAAAAGGAGAAAGCAAGGAAAGGAAGAGAAGAAGGAAGGAAGGAAGGAAAAAAGGGAAGGAAGGGACAAAGAGAGGAAAGGAAGAAAAAGAAGGGGAAGGGAGGGAGGGAGGAAAGAGAAAAGGAGAAAGCAAGGAAAGGAAGAGAGGAAGGAAGAGAGGAAGGAAGGAAGGAAAAGGGAAGGAAGGAAAGGAAGAAAAAGAAGGGGAAGGGAGGGGGGAGGAGAAAAGAAGAAAGCAAGGAAAGGAAGAGAGGAAGGAAGGAAGGAAAAGGGAAGGAAGGGACAAAGAAGAAATGAAGAAAGACAAGGAAGGGAGGAATGGAGGGAGGGAGGAGAAAAGTAGGAAGGAAGAGAAGGAAGGAAGGAAGGACAAAGGAAGGGAAAAAAGAAAAAGGGGAAGGAAGGTGAAGGGAAATGAAAGGAAGGGGAGGAAGGAGGGAAAAGAGAGAAAGAAAGAAAAAAAAAACAACCCTAAGGGAACAAAAGACCATAATGGCTGGTCTTTGATATCCTTGACAATGATCCTCAAAGAACATTACATTCTGGCAGATTTTTATTTTTTATTATTTAAGAAAAAAAAAGAAAGAAAAAAAAAGAAGAAGAAGTAATGGCATTCTGTCTCGGCGATGCTTTCCGTCGTCATTCTGGCCACGGAACAGCGAGGTCATAAGCTGAGCTCGGTGAAGGGAGCCAGAAGTTGAAATGACGCTGAGAGAACGTCTGGGAGATGAGAGGACAGAATTACAAGCAAAAGTGCAGGCCTGCTGAGGCAATTACGGCTTAATGGGGTCATTTGGAAGGCAATTGCCAGGGGTTAATGTAGTATGGAGAAACGAGGTGAGATTGCACTGAAATTTGGGGCCAGAGAATGTGTTAAGATGAAAGATCAGAGCGCCTGGGATTCTGCAGTGGGCAGGGTGGGTGGGAGGGAGGGAGGGTGGGTGGGTGAGTAGGGAGAAAGGCTTTATAGCATGCTATATATACACATATATATACTGTGTTCCCCCGAAAATAAGACCCTGTCTTACATTTTTTTGAACCCTGAAATAAGTGCCTTATTGCCATGCGTTCAAAAGTCCGATTGGGTTTATTATCAGGGGAGGTCTTACTTTGGGGGAAACAGGAAACTCTGCCTTTCTATATCCTATCTATCTATCTATCTATCTATCTATCTATCTATCTATCTATCTATCGTATTTATCTATCTACTGTGTTCCCCCGAAAATAAGACCCTGTCTTATATTTTTTTGAACCCTGAAATAAATGCCAGTGCAAAGATTCTGCCCAAATCCCATTCGGGTAAGGGTCCCAGCCTCTTTTTTTAACAGGAGGGGGCCAGCATGGATGGGTTTTGAAGCATTGCTTCGTAGCCCACCTGGAGCGGTTTGGATTTGGGAGCGTACACAAAAAAAAAATCTCACAAAAATATATCAGTAAATAAGGGGAGGAATGTCCGTTCAAGGGCAATCAATGGCGATTTTACTGCAGTCTTCTGTAGCTTTTGGGTTAAGGTTTGTGGGGTCCCTGGTGCTCTCTGAGCTTGGATGCTTTCTGGCAGATGTTTCATGGCCCAACTACGGAACATCATCAGTGCTAGAAGGAAGGAAGGAAGGAAGGAAGGAAGGAAGGAAGGAAGGAAGAAGGAAGGAAGGAAGGAAGGAAGGAAGGAAGGAAGGAAGGAAGGAGAGGAAGAGGAGGGGAGGAGGAGGAGAAGAACTGTGGGGTCCTTGGTGCTCCCTGAGCTTGGGTGTTTTCTGGCAGATGTTTCATGACCCAACTAGGGGTCATGAAGTGCTAGAAGGAAGGAAGGAAGGAAGGAAGAAGAGAGGAAGGAAGGAAGGAAGGAAGGAAGGAAGGAAGGAAGGAAGGAAGGAGAGGAAGAGAGGGGAGGAGAACTGTGGGGTCCTTGGTGCTCTCTGAGCTTGGATGCTTTCTGGCAGATGTTTCATGGCCCAACATCATCAGTGCTGGAAGGAAGGAAGGAAGGAAGGAAGGAAGGAAGGAAGGAAGGAAGGAAAGAAAGGAAGGAAGGAAAGAAGGAAGGAAGGAGAGGAAGAGGAGGGGGAGGAGAACTGTGGGGTCCTTGGTGCTCTCTGAGCTTGGATGCTTTCTGGCAGATGTTTCATGGCCCAACTAGGGAACATCATCAGTGCTAGAAGAGAGGGGAGTTTGCAGAGAGGAGGAGGAAGAAGAGAACGACTGAGGGGTCTTTGGGGCTCTCTGAGGGTGGGGCGACTGTGGAATGATTGGTGGTCTCCTGTTTTCTTTCCACCCAGCCCCTTCTTACCTCCAAAACATGGAGAATGGATTGTTGGTAGGACACCAACTTCTGAAACGTGGCGGGTTGAAATGTTCCCGGAAATGTACCAGACCCACCAGTTTGTCAGCGGAGATCTGCAACAATAGCAATAGCCCTTAGACTTATATACCGCTTCGCAGTGCTTTCCAGCCCTCTCTAAGCGGTCGACAGAGTCAGCCTCTTGCCCCGCAACAATTTGGGTCCTCATTTTACCCATCTCGGAAGGACGGAAGGCTGAGTCAACCTTGAGCCTGGTGAGATTCGAACTGCCAAATTGCAGGCAGTGAGCAGAATTAGGCTGCAGTACTGCACTCTAACCACTGCACCACCCCGGAAGGACGGAAGGCTGAGTCAACCTTGAGCCAGTCAAGATCGAACTGCTGGCAGTCGGCAGAGTTAACTTGCAATATGGCATTCTAACCACTGGGTCACCTTGCCTACCTGCCTGCCTGCCTGCCTGCCTGCCTGCCTGCCTCCCTCCCTCCCTTCCTTTTTTCTTTCCTTCACAAGCAATAGCCCTTACACTTATATATCGCTTCATAGTGCTTCACAGACCTCCCTAAGCAGTTTACAGAGTCAGCCTCTTTCTCCCAACAATCTGGGTCCTCATTTTTACCAACCTCGGAAGGACGGAAGGCTGAGTCAACCTGGATCCGGTGAGAATCGAACTGTCAAATTGCAGGCAGTCAGCAGTCAGCAGAAGTAGCCTGCAGTACTGCACTCTAACCACTGCGCCACCATGATTCAATAAGGAGAAAGCGACTGGACCCAACCACTCTGACCTTCGTCTCTTTATCCCAGCCATCCAAGAAAAGACCCCACCCCAGGGCAGAATCCTCAACTCCTGTCAGCACTTCAAGCTTCATTTACTCTAGTGCTGACATAAGAAGGAGAAGCGGAGGCGTCTGGAAAGGGACGTTTGACTTTTCACCTACTTATTTTCCCTGGAGATAATATCCCCTAGGAGATGGATGGGAGGGGGAAATTCCTTTGAGCTGGAGCAGTAGATTAGGGGTAGAGTGACTTGGAAGATGGCCAATGAGTGCAGGGGAGTGGGGAACAGAAAGGGAGGGTTTGGGGGCTGGAAGTCAGTGTTGGCTTCGATTGAGTCGGTTAGAATGTCATGCTTAATAAAATGGGAGTTTTTCATCAAAGACTTCGTTTGAAATGCAATTTATTTGAGACGACCTCAAAACTTGACAACTCCCCAACTCTGGGACCACTTGAAGATGGATGGACTTCAACTCCCAGGATTCCCCAGCCAGCTTTCATTTCCCCCCCCCCCTTCTTTTTATCATTGTAGGCCACCTAGAGTAGCCCCACAGCGAGATAGGTGACAAATTTAACAAATACATAAATTACTTAGCAACAACAGTTTTTTGCCATCCTTTTTTTTTAAAACTAAACTGGGTTTGAAAACTGCAAAAAAAAAACAACAAAAAGGCACGGACATGCCCATTGCCAACCTCCCGCAAAGAGCCCTCTTGAGGACTAGTGGATGGATGGACCGATAGGCACATAATTCAGGGCAGTTTAACAAACCCTGTTGCAAACAACACTAAGAAATCCGGTCCTTGAAAGTTGTGGGTTCTCCATCACGGGAGGTTTTCAAGAAAAGATTAGATAGCCGTTTGTCTGGAATGGTATAAGGTCTCCTGCTTGACCATAGGGTGGACTAGAAGACCTCTGATGTCCCTTTCAGCAGCTCTCCTTGAACAGGTGACGTAGTGAACCGTGTCTAAAATCAGGCAAACTTGGTGACTTCTTTACCGTGAATTTCCATGACCTCCTTTAATATCCCCACCTCTGCAGTTTGGACTAGAAGACTTTCAACTCTGTTATTCTGTTACAGGAAGGGAAATAACAGAATAACAGAATTGGATGGGACCTTGGAGGTCTTCTAGTCCAACCCCCTGCTCACACACACACACACACACACACACACACACACACACACACACACACAAAGCTAAAGCCCCATTTGGCAGAATTAATCGTTGACAAACTGCTCTTAAGCTGTAACATTGTTTCTGTCAGTTGTTCAGTTTTGATGTCACTGTTAGACATAATAAATCAATAGTGTCAGAATTTAGTAATGTTTATAGCTAGCAAGGTTTATTATTTCATAGGACTGTCATGTACCAATACTGGTTATCGAAGCTGTCTCTAAATTACCCGGGGCAGCGCGCGTTGCTTTGAATAATGCCGACGGGGTTGGGGTAGGAATTGGTGATCCTGTCGGTTCCTACCCCCACACACACAAAAAACGCAGATTGCAATTTTGGAATTCTATTTCTGTGTCCTGAGAGCCAACATTTTC